GAAAACAAAACGGGGTTTTTATGGGGTTGGTATGATACAAGCAAAAAGGGGTACGAAAGATAGCACGGGTTTGGGAAGTGGTTCGTCACATATGTCGTGTATGTATGCGTGTGCGTGTGTGCGTGTGTGTGTGTATGTGTGCGTGCGTGTGCGTTTGCGTGTGCGTGTGTGTGTGTGTGTGTGTGTATGACATGTATGACATAAAAGGCGTCCTCGTTGTCTATTTGCACACGTTCTCCATGTGGAGCTACCTATCGCGGCTGTTGCGGCTGCTGCTGCGCTTGTTGCGAATCCAAAGCATCATCGGGCTCCGTGCAGAAGCTGGGTTCCACCATGATTGATTGGTAGTAAGTGTTTAATTTCTTGTCAGCAAGAGTACTCGAGAAAAGGAGGAAGGGGAAAAATGGAAAGAAGTCGTAAAGAGAAAGGAGGGACCCCGCCCTCAATCCATTTCTCTGGAATGCAAAGCTACCAACTTCCCGCCGAGCCCCTTTCTGCCCCCCCAACAACAAAAACAAAAAGTGGGGTGACTTGCTTCCTACCAAACGGGTGAGCTGTCGTGGCCGGGAAATGAGAGATTTGGGGACATGGTGTGACCGACACCACCACTATTTCCCCAAATCAGGCCTTAGTAGTTTTTGAGATTATGTGGATTTGCTACGGCAGTGTGAGCGTGCCCTGACACTCTCCTTCTTTTGAATTCATCGCATGAGCTCAAGCGGAATGGAGTTTGGGTCAGACCGATGCGTTACCGCCGGCGTTAAGGCGTTCAAACCTAGCGGACGATACCCGGTAACAGGTCGGACTCGGTGGCGGTGCTACCACCACGATAGTAGCCCGATAGGGTTGACGAGATGCGTAGCGCCGCCATGCCGACACAACATAGCCAGTGAGCTATGGCACCTCCCAACACGATGTCCCGGTTCGGACCCTGGAAGAAGATTGAAGTTAGAATGATAGCGACGAAGCATAGTCAGACATCGGACAGAGTCAATTCTAAATAGCTGCGTGAAGAAGGAACGAGTGGTCGGCCGAACTAGTTGTCCGGGTCGTTGTCGATAATCCAGTGTGGGGATACTAGTGTGTTCGCTGAACCTTGAGCTACCAATTATAAAACCATTAGTCTGCAGAGTAAAAGGTTGTAGATGGACGAGGTTAACATGGACCGGGAGGCGAGGCCCCCCCCGTCTGCCCCGAATGATGCTGAGGAGGATAACGAGTGGCTGCAGGAACTGGCAATGCGCTGTTACGAGGATGGAGTGATGCCAACAGGTATCAATCCTGGAGTGCAAAGTGGTGATGGACACGAGGTCCAGTTTAAGGTCAATAGGAATATCGATCAGGTAAAGATTGGGTGGCTGAAAGAACACACAGTCACCGTCATCTTCCGAGAAGGGGCGAGATTCCTATCACGCAAAGTCAAAGAGGATATAGTAAGGGTTTTTGAAGACGAGAAAGTATTCGAGGGTTCCTTTGATGTACATACCTTTAGCCGTGGAAGGGTAAAAATTGAGAGTCCTAACGTAGTTTCTTATGTGGCTAGAAGCTCTGCGATTGCCATATGGTTGATTCTCAAAGGAAGGAACGAGCTCACAATTGGACCGAAGCACTATGTCATTGAGTTCAAGCCATGGCTTACAAAAACCCAGTTGAGAGCCCAAAGACAGGTGGAGGATGACGCTGTATTCTGGGTTATCGCAGTCCAAGTGCCTCTCGATGCCATCTTCTACTTGGAAGCCCAAGTAGCTCGGGCAATTGGGCCGATCCTGTGCACTCATCCGGCTGAGCAAGATCACCAGAAGCCAAAACTTATCAACATCAAGTTTGAGATAGATCCAGCAGCGAGAAACAATATGAAGGATAAAATTTGGGTTGACATGTGCGAAGGCGATGACCTGAAGGTCAGACTCGCGTCCTCGAAACTCCCAAGTGTAGAAGGTGCCATGCCTTCTTTTACACGGATGTCGAATGCAGGAGAAACCAGCAGCAAGGACAAGAAGAGCAACCTCAACAAGGACAATCAATGGCTACAAGTCGCCCACAATATCAAGGGTTCTAAGGTCGCTCGGTGGACAAGGAGGTGGACAAGGAGAAACAGGTGGAGCAGCGTTGAACGCTGTTGGCGGAATCTTGAAAGGGGAAGGCGGAACAGCGTCGGCAACATTTGGACCTGGCCAAGCTGGAGGTGGAACATCCTTGGCAGTTGGAGGAACTATACCAAGCCAAGGCCTAGCAGCTCAATTTTTAGGTCAACAGTCTACCCTCTTCAGAGGTCCATCTGACTCTAATCCTGGGCTCCATCTGGCTCTAATCTTGGGATTTTTGCTACTAGTCATTTAACTACCAATCCCGTTGTCGGGACAGAAACCCCTACAGGGGTTTCTGCCCGAGTTTGTCAAGGTCAGTCGCTGTCCGATTTTTTTATGGGATTGAGRAACTGGTWGAGATTGACGTTGTCAAAAGTTGTTCAGACCAACCCTATAACTGAGAAACCTAAAGCCTGACGTCGTTGATGTATGACGTCGTTGACATGGGACGTCATTGACATGTGACGACAACGGCGTCCGTTCGAGACAGGGGGAGTCGGCGGTATGGCCTGTTGTCCGCGGGTCTCGACATGGCCGCAAGGGTGCGCGGTCGTAGAAAGTTTGAGACTAGACTTATTCTACCTAAAAGATGTCCCGCGGCTTAGCAGCCGCGTGATTCAGGGCCTAAGTAGGCTAAAAAGGAGGGATGCGCAGGGTATAGGGCTACGGTGCGAGAGGAATAGCAAGGTTTTTTTCCTTTTTTTTGGGCCGCTGGGTTAACCTCGAGCCAGGGTGAGGCCAGCAGGCCTATACCGAGGCCTACCCGATGGGCGGTCCCGGAGTGGTGGATGGGCAGCCATCCATAGGGAAGAAGCGGGCAGGCAAAGCCTGCAAGGTCACGGTATGGGGGAAACCTGACAAGGCGAGCTCTTCACATAGGCGAGCTGCTCTTGTCATTATCATGATAGGAGCTAGCCCAGTAAGTTATTGCAGAGGACTCTTACCTATCTGGTACCGGGATCAAGCTTGGCTGCAAGCATCTTACCAGGCTAGCTCCTTTTGGAGCAGCCCAAGGCAGTTGGGCGCGGCCAATCTCGGCCGCGCGATCCTCAAGATCGCGCGGCTGAGATCTGTCGCGCCCAGATCAAAGTGGCCCCTGCGCAAGGATGACATACATAAATGGAGAAAAGGCCAAAATTTTCTCTTTTTAGTCTCGGATGGGGTTGAACTTGGGTCTGTAATTCGACAGATCGTGTTAGGGGGGGCCACACGATGTGACCACTGACGTGGCCGTTGGCATAGCCAACGACAAAAAAAAAAAATATATA